GCCAGCATAAGCTATTAGCAGATAGGTATATATATGTTAGAAAAGATTAAAAACCACCTCAGTGTCATACACAAAATAATTTTTTAAATGTATTAAATTAGCAAATTCCTATGATAATGTTTGGGATGTGTCTTTCTTTTTTTATTATTTGTGTGTGTGTATGTGTGTGTGTGTGTGTGTGTGTGTGTATACCATCAAATAAGATCTATCTGGTACAAGTGGAGATTCCCCCTCCTTCTCCAGCAGAGTATCTGGTGGATTCGAACTGTGCACCTCTGGGATTGCAGGGAAGCTTCTTGCCACTGGGCCACCAGAGCTCGTCTGGGATGTGTCTTTCTTGAATGCCACACTTTACATGCAGGGTCTCCTGGTTCTTGGTATTCTGCACTGGATGACATGGAAAATTATTAGCTGCCTCATTAGTAATGATCTTAGTGATGACAAAACCTCTACATTTTTATAGTGCTTACTCTAAACCAAAAAATGAACCCTGATGATGCAGCATTGAGCTGGTGACCAAATGGTTGGCAGTTCAAATCCGTCAGGCACTCCCAGGAAGAAGAAACAAAAGGCTTTCTGTTTCTGTAGATATTTCTAGCCGTGGAAACCCCAAGGGTGGGAGGGGAATTCTCCTCCGTCCTGAAGGTTCAGTTTGAGTCAGTCAAGTGCCAGCAGTGGTTTGGTTTTAGTTTTAAGGAGTGAGCAAACCTAAATCTGTTGGAAGCAATTTCTGCAGCCTACTTCCTTTAATTCTCACAGAAACTTTAGAGATGATAGCCTATGATCACTGTTTTACAGAGGCGTAAATGAATGTCCTGCAAGGTTCAGGAGCTTGGCTCAGGTCTCATGGTCAGTAAATGGAGACAGTGGGATTGAGACCCAAATAGCTTGGCCCCAGTGGAGACCTCTGCCACCTGGGAAAGAAAGGAGAGCTTGCTTAGGTAGGAAAACTGAAGTGGGAGTGTCCAGGGCATCTACAGACCCTTCCAGCCCCCTGGCCACCATTGCTGTTGGCAGAATTCTGCACTCCCACCAGTGCTTGGCTTCACATTGCAGATCTGACTGCATTGTCTTGCTCAGGTAACATTCCATTTCAACCACTGCCAATTCAGCCTTTTGTTTGTTCATAGGGGACCACTATCAGAAAGCTTTAGCAACAACAGAATGGCTTGAATTCTGTCCCATGCTTTGATATGAGGATTTTCAAACTTGACCTTGTCTTTTGAAATTGTACAAGTTCTTTTTTATTTTTAGTCATGTGTCTACAGAGACTGCAGTCCGAGTTTGTATGTGAGTATTCTGTCTTGCCTCACATTGATCTATGGAACCAGTTCCCTGGATCCTTCAGAAAAGCTGGTGAATTAGGAGCTTCCCCTTCATGGAGCCTAGGTGGCTTCTTCTCTAGGCTAAACTGTGTCTCAGCCTCCTGGGTTTTCTCTATATATAGACCCAGGTCTCCGTATTTCCCTCATAGTCCAGCTCTGGGTCCTCTGCAGGGACATTCATTTTAAGGATAAAAAGTATCTTAGGAGGAAGGAGCCACAGCTCTGGAAAGGACAGGGTCCAGGACAGTCCTGGGGAATGAATATCAGGAGCAGGAATTTGCTGGAAGGACCTTTGGGAGGTCATCGCCATGATGCCATCCCCTTCCCATCTGCCCCAAGCCCTGGCGTGGCAGGTGGGTGTGGAAGGGTCACATCGAAGGTCTAGCTGTGGTTGACCCCAGCTTACTGACTACAATGCCGAAGCCTGAAATGGAGCCGTTCTTAAAAAGAAAGAAATTCATGTTATTTTTATTTATGTCTAGCCTACTTTTGAAAGGTCATGGAGTGAATCACAGTTCTTTTATCCTTAGCTATGTAATCATTTTGTAATCTAAAAGTAGTTATTGTGTGTGAAATAATTATAAATTCTATGCTACCAAATGTTATTTAGTTGGCAGACTTATAATTTTGTGACATTTTTTTCTATTTTAATAGTAGACACACAGTTGCCATTTAATAGTCTCAATCTGGAACCTTCTATGTTCTCTGTATTTCAAGGGTATGCTCTTGATGGTTACTATAAATATGTCCAAGAGCTTGAGTGTATCTGTTTGTATAGAGAACATGTAGGCAACAAGAGTTTATACACAACATTTTACAACAAAAATTATCTAAATTACTGGTTAAAATGGCCTTAATTTCCTTTTAGATGCTTTTGTGAAAATGTGATGATGATAATTACAATTGAAAAAACCACATTAATTACCTCTCACACAAAAAATTAAGTCTATGTTGACAACAAAATGCATCTCAGTTGCAATTTCTATTGTCTTGAACATGTACTTGTCTCACTGTAAATAGAACCCAGATCTTCAAAAGAGAATTTAGCTTATGGTCGTACTGAGCACTGAATGTCTTTCCTGAAGTCCAGTGCGGCTGCTATGTCCCACGAGTGTCGTGTGTTAGTCCAGGAAGTAGGGAGCAGCCTGGCAGTTCACTCTGTTGTCCTTGAGCCTCCTTCAATTCATGGTAGCTCTGTTCTTGTCAAAATAGAGATGACCCTATATGATTTTCAATAGGTGAATTTTTAGAAGTGGTTATTTAAGTGTATTACGATTTCCACCACCAAAACACTCCAAGTTATCCATAGCTCTATAATCAACTGTCTTTAACCAATAGGGGAGTCACTTTCCATCATATTTATTGTAACAGCTAAAATTGCCATTACCTTTTATTCTTTGTGTGTTATTATCTTACTGGTTCGCTCTTTCGCAGTGTGAATGATAAACTTTCTTTGCCAAACCCAACACTGTTCCATTGACTTTTGACATTTAATATGATGGAAAGGTAGGAGGCGAAATCTTTCTCCCCCTTTGTAAATGATTTACAGTTTTGCTGTGATTTCTACCTATTTGTGATGCCTTTTTTCTCCCCTTAAAATGTGGAAAATTCACTGATATTCTTCTGAGTGTTTCTCTTCTGTTACTGTGATTTGGAGGAAATGATACACAGTCTTTTATTTCTGTTTTTTTTTCCCTGTACTTTTCAGCCTGGAAAATATTTACGCATTATTCAGCTGTACTCTTTACTATTTCTTTATTTCATATCTACTGTATCTCTCTATGTGAGCTCTGGTAACCTACTGGTAAGGATTGAATTGCCAGCCCAAAGGCTTGAAGTTCAAATCTGCCACCTGGTTTGTGAGAGTAAGATGGGCAGTCTCCTCCTGTGTGATTTACTGCCTCCGAAAAGCCACTGGAGTCTCAGCTAACAACAACATAACCTGACAACGATAACATCTTTTTAACGAGTTCATTCGTCCTGTTGATATATGAGATCTGTACTTTTTATTCTCTCATTTTCACTCCATGCAAATGGGTAAAATATCTCTATCTCTACTCATCGATGCCTTAAAGTCCAGAGATCTGTAACAGCTAAGTAGGGTACACGGTACTGTCCCCATGAGCCCCGTAACCTGCTTCTTCATTTATGAAGTGCTTAGTTTTAGGGTCTTGTCCATTTAGTGCCTGTCAAGAAAGTACTACCATCCCCTGTCCCCGTCTCTCTCTTCTTGATTAACTACATGGGAAACCAGGAACTTGAGACATGGCCCCAGAGGCTGCTGTTTGGCAGGTGTGCAGACACCATGCCACCGTCTCCCTTCGTCCTTCACTGCCAGATACTAGTCATGGGCTCTGTCTGGAGAATTGTGCATTTATTTCCCAGTGAGGCTGTATTTCTTTAGGACGGACAACCCAAACAGGATAACTTTGTTTGCTCCAATCGTCATTCCTGCCATAATCCATATTTACATTTTCTCACTGGATTGAAGGGAGCTCTAGTAGCGTAATGGTAAGGAATTGTACTGCCAGCGTAAATGCATATGGTTTAAATTCACCAGCCGCTCCACGAGAGAAAGATGGGCATTCTCCTCCTGTGCAACTTACAGCCTCTCAAAACCTGCTAGAGGGTCAGCTGCGAGTCAGTGCCAACTCGGTGGTCCACACAGTGACAACAATAACACAGTGACAACAACTGGATTGAAAGGTTGTTTAACTCATTTGACGGAGACTAGAAAGGTAGATAATCTCCTTTAGGAATCAGTTATGGTTTTACCTGTACTATCCTTTCTATTAAATATATATAATCCTTTACATAAAGGATTTTATAAACTGGGACCTCTGGTGGCCTAGTGGCAAGAAGCTACACTGCAGTCGCAAAGGCATGTGCTTCAAGGCCACCAGCTGCTCTGTGAGAGAAAGATGGGCAATCTCTTCCCTTGCGATTAACTGCCTCTGAAAACCCACTGGAGGGTCAGCTATGAGTCAGTTCCAACTCTATGATGCAACAACAACAACAAAGGATTATAAAAAAAGCTTTGTTATATATGGACAATTAGATGAATGTGACAGTGGTGGTTTCTCTTGTCTTTTAAACACAGACTTTAATGGTTAACAATTTAAGTTCAATTAACTTTAAACTATTACAATCTAATGCAAAAGTCACTATTAGACAATATTAGTGACTTGAAAAGGGTTCCTCAGAAAATAGACAAATTGACTAAAAAGTATAGTGATAGAATTCTCATCTTCCATATGAGAGGCCTGGGTTTGATTCCTAGTCAACAGATCTCATGTCTAAACACCACCTTTCTGTCATTGGAGGTTTGCTAGTTGCCATGATGCTAAATACATTTCTGCAGAACTTCCAGACTAAGTTGGAGTAGGAACAAAAGCCTGGAAATGTACTGCTAAAAATCAGCCAGGACATCCTATTGGGCCTCACAGGGTTCCAGTCCACAGGGATCCTGGGGATGGCCGGTGACTTGTTCCGTTGTGACGCAGTCACAGTGAGGCAGGGACCACGCAGCTAACAACAGTCAGGTGAATCAGTTCCCGGACAAAGGCAGCCGACTTGGCCCCACTGTCCCCTGATCATCACTGTTTCTACCTCCCCTGTGTTCGGAGACACCCTTGGTTCCAGGCATGATGCTCTGTGTGTTTCCTTTGTCCGCAGGGAGGACGAGCACGCCCTCATCCAGCAGTACTGTCAGACGCTGGGTGGGGAGTCCCCGGTGAGCCAGCCACAGAGCCCCGCGCAGATTCTCAAGTCGGTGGAGAGAGAAGAGCGCGGAGAACTGGAGCGCATCATTGCTGACTTGGAGGAAGAGCAGAGGTAGCCCTGGGAGGAGAAAGCCTGTCTGCCCGGGAAAACATCTCAGGGACTGTCTTTAATAGTCACTTCTGCACGGCCCTGGCCTGTCTTATTTTTGGAAGGATTATCTGAGGAGCTGTGGTGGAGTCAGCATTTTAGGGAACATTAGCAAGCTGGAGGGCAGGCTGCAGGTTCCAAAGGCCTTCGGGGAATCACACAGAATGTCTGCTAAAACACATGCTTGAAGCTGTGATTTTGTGCCTTCATGCTCATAAGAAGCCTGAGTTGCAATTTGGATCCCTTAGCTGTACAGTGAAATCCGGAAGAGCCAGAACTAGACAGCATCACCTTCTCTTTTTTTTCCCACTTTTAACAATGCTGAGGTCTTAGAGTTTCTGTCACTCAGTTCAGTGAAAACTATTTGACTTCTGGCTTTTGCAAATTTTGTCATATTTAGATAAGCCCTACCTGACTCAGACCACTAAGAACTTCACACTAGTCAAAAGGTTGGCAGTTTGAAACCCATCCTGAGATGACTTGACAAACAGGTCTGGCGACTTAACCTCCAAATTGTGTGACTATACCGTAGTAGTTTTTCTGTCCATTCGTTTGTTGATGGGCGCTTGGATTGCTTCCATCTCTTTGTTATTGTGAATAATGCAGCAATAAACATGGGTGTGCATGCGTCCATTTGGGTGGCAGCTCTAGTTTCTTTAGGGTATATTCCCAGTAGTGGAATTGCTGCATCAAATGGCATTTCTATTTCCAACTTTTTGAGGAAGTGCCAGACCGCCTTCCATAGTGGTTGCACCATTTTCCATTCCCACCAGCCGTGAATGAGTTCTAATCTCTCCATAACTTTGCCAGCATTTGTTGTTTGCTGCTCTGTTGAACTTTGCTATTGTTACTGGGGTGAGATGATAATCTCATAGTTGTTTTGATTCGCATCTCTCTAATATAGATTTTGAATATTTCTTCATATATTTATTTATTTGCCATCTGACTGTCTTTTTTCATGAGGTGTCTCTTCATATATTTTGCCCATTTTGGGATTGGGTCATTTACTTGTTTTTCTTCTTGAGGTGCTAAAATATTCTATGAATTTTAGATATGAATCCCTTATGTCATGGCCAAGTATTTTTTCCAGTCCGTGGCTTTTCTTTTTACCCTGCTGAAGAAGTTTTTTTTATATGCTTAGGGATTGGATTCTTAGAAGATTCCATTCACCTGAAAAACAACGAATTCATAAAATGTTACACAACATGGGTCATGTCCTGGAGAACATGTTGCTGAGTGAAATGTCTTAGTCACAAAAGGACAAATGCTGTGTAACACCACTGTTGTGAAGCAGGACTGACCTGGGAACTTGGAGGTGAAGCCAGGAAAAGAGGAGATAGATAATGAATACTGAACTGGACAGATAAAGGAAAGAACTGTTTAAAAGGGATATATGGTTAGGCATTATTTGTATGTCAACAGTCCAGAATAAGAGGTACATTGCATAGTGGATTGGGGGAGGGTAAGGAATTATAATACAATGAATTAGTATTTTTTTAAAAAAGAAGAAGAAAGTAAACTTAGGGAGGGAAGAAAATATGCAATAATGAATGAATGAAAATCAGCTTTTCTGTAAACTTTTGTTAAAATCACAATTTAAAAAACAACAACACAAAAACCCCCAAAATGCCTTCAAAGCCCCACAGAACACTTTTCTCTGCACTTGAAGTTGCCATCAGTCAGAATTGACAATTGGTGGCAGCCCTTGTTGGGTGGAAGTGGAAGGCCACAGCCACGGTGTTCATTCTGGTTTCTACGCTTGCCCTTCAGGAGTCTGCAGGTGGAGTATGAGCAGCTGAAGGAGCAGCACTTGAAAAGGGGCCTCCCTGTGGGCTCCCCCCCAGACTCCATCGTGTCCCCCCATCACACGGCTGAGGACTCGGAGCTCATAGCGGAAGCCAAGCTCCTCCGGCAACACAAAGGCCGGCTGGAGGCCAGGATGCAGATCCTGGAGGATCACAACAAACAGCTGGAGTCCCAGCTGCACCGACTCCGCCAGCTGCTGGAGCAGGTAGTCACCCCGCCTGCCTGTCCCCTCCCCCGGAAGATTGCTCTGGGTGTCAGGGGAGAGGCCCCCTCTCCACATCTCAGTCTTTAAAAGGGGACATGTCAAATCCTTACCAGCACGTAATGTGTTAGCCTAGCTTACTAACAAATTTTTAAGAGAGGAGTACCCATTCTCCTTTAACACTCAAAACTATCTTCTCACTGACTGAGTAGTTTAGGAGAAAAGATCCTGTAGCATTTATCAGCATGATTATGTGTTGGAAACTTCTGTGGGACTTAAAGAGATGGGAGTGGCCCCAAGGTTTCATTTGAATCCCATCTTCCAATGAGCTAAGAACCCAGACTCCAGGAGTCATACATTCTGTTTGTAAGAAATGAAGTGACACGTTTATTAATATCCAGCCGCTGTGTCCTAACACTGAATTTTTCTGGTGATTGGTTTCAGACTTTAGTGACAGTAACTAATAGAATTTACCACATGATAAATACGTACTTGTGTGATAAATACAAAGCACTACTTGTCCTTCGATAGGGATGCCACCTCTTATTTTCTATATTGTGACTTCCTTCTCGCTTTCTGTTTCTTCTCTTTATACTGGTCAGAACCTACCGAAATGATTTTATAACTCACCAGTGGGCACTAACCTACAGTTGTCAAAACTTGTTCTCTGACTTATAAAAAAGGCATCACAAGGAATGTCTGCCCTTCTGATTCTAGTATTATTAGGACACGAAGTGCACTGGAGGGGATTACTTGTTCGATCCTCAGAGCAGGTACACAGTGGACGGCACAGGGCTGGTCTTGAAGATGCAGCCTGTGTGACATAGAATTTCAGTTGCAGGTAGACGAACCCCACCCATGGACTCCGAGCTGCTTGTCTCCTGATGGGTCTCTGATTTGAGCACACATGCCATCCTTTGCCTTTCTCACTGCCTGTGCAATGACAGACCCTAAGCACAGCCTTTCTCCAATATTATTTAGTGGGTCTAAGTCAGGAACAACTTCCTCTCCAGCAATCTTCTCATCTTGTAGAAAACCAGCTTTTTGCCATTGGTGTCCCTGTCCTGTGACTGGTCACAGTCATTCAAAGCATGACCGTTTCTGCAGTTCCTACACAGTGGGCTAGAGAGTTAGCATTTCTGAATGTCTGGCATCGTTTCAGATTTGCTGTTTTGGAGAGCATCTACCGCAGGGCCTCACAACTTGTGCAGGGTAACCCAACGCCTCGAAGGCAGTGTAAGCCCTCCAGAATGCTGGACCTTTTCATGAGCTCTTGTCCTGGAGATCAAAAGCATGACATTGGTGGGGTTGTGAATACAAAGGTTCTGAATGGTGCCATGGAAAGGATTCATTTTTTTCCTGAATTCTCTTCAGGAGCGAATACATGAAATCTTTATGTTAACAACCTAGTCTAAGGACAGAGTCATAGATAGAGGAAAGAAGCCACTCTCAACTTCGCTTGTTGATGCTCTCAAAGAGCCAAAGGGCCTCTGTCCACTCCCACTCCCTCCATCTCACAAGGTAGCGCTGCGTGATGACTTATGTGCAGTCAGAACTACACAGTAATGCTTTTAGAGATAGCTGATATCTAAATGGTTCTGTGTATCAGATTGTAAGCTCTTATCTCTTCTTAATGATGTAGCCTGAATGCCAAAAGTAGATGGAAAATTCCGCTTCCATAGTGAAAACTGGCAAAAACTACCAGACTTTGACTAATACAGATTTAATGGGGAAAAGCTGCATCTGAAACCTTGTCATTTCTGCATCTCTTGAACAATTGCTTGCTCTTTCTAATTGGATCGTATTCTCATCAATGCATGCATCATCATTTCAGTGTTTGGTTTGAGGATGCATTTATAATGTGCGTATGAGGGGGCGGGCTGTTGCAAACAGTTTAGAAATACTGATTTGTCACCTCTCTAAGAAAAAGCCCTGTGCGATGGGTACTAATTCTCACTCCAGTTTTATAGATTATAAAAGTCCAAGGAAGTTATTACAGGAGTTTCCCAGAATGATAGTGTTTCCTGGTGACACAGAATTTGAATCCAAACAATCTGATTCCTGAATCATGCCTTAACTGCTCTCCAAAAGTGCCGTTAAATATGTTCTGTGATTTTGAAATTGGATATATTTGCTGGATTTGAGTAAGTCTCTGGGTAACACAAATATTTTTCACTTGTCTAGTAACCTCAAAATCAACGGTTCAGATCTAACCAGTAGCACCAAAGGGAAAAGCTTGACAGTCTGCTTCTGCAAATATTAACCTATTGCTGGCAAGTGGATTCGGTATGAGCTTAGTAGAGTTTTAATTCAAAAGGCAGACATTGACGTCTACCAGCTGCTTTATAAGAGAGAGGTGGGTGGTCTCCTCCTATAAGGATTTGTAGCCTTGAAGCCCAGTGGAGGGTTTCTACAAGTGGAGTCCACTTGGCAGCAATAGGTTATGTTTGCAGAAGCAGATTGCCAGACTTTTCTCTTTGGTGCTGCTGGTTAGATTTGAATTGCAAGTAGAGCAAACAAGTTCATCCTGGAGAGGGTAAGACCAGGCTGCTCCTTGGAGGCAAGGATTATGAAGCTTCATCTGGCATACTTTGGACATGTTGCAAGGAGGGACCAGTCCTTGGAGAGGGATATCATACTTGGGAGGGTGGAGGGACAGTGCAGGAGAGGAAGACCCTCGATGAGAGGGATTGATTCAATGACTGGGGGAATGAGGGCAGGGGTATCAGAGACAATAAGATTAGCACAGGATAGAGCAGAGTTTAAGGCTGTTGTACATAGGGTCTCTGTGAGTTGCAGGCGACTTGACGGCACATAACAACAACTCAAACTCACTGCCGTCAAGTCTGTTCTGGCACCGAGCAACCTTCTTTGGGTCTCCGAGACTCTTACTTGCTCAGAGGACACTGATTATCTTTCTTCCCTGGAGCCACTGGTAGATTTGAACCACTGGAGATACACAGCCTTTGAGATAGGAACACAATTCAGCAGGGACTGTGCTGCCACAGCTCCCCTAAGATCTTAGGAGACAAATCTGCTTTGTTATACAGAGGATGCTATGTATCAAAATTAATTCCATAGCAAGAAGTATACTATAATAGAGTCTGTGCTGATATTTTTATGATTGATATAACATGCTTCCAAATTTGCTTGGTTGACACAAAAATAATGGAGAGAAAGCATGTGGGATGGAATTGACATTGATAAATAGAACTGGCAGTGTAACCACTCAGTTCTTGCAGGGGCCTGGCTGAAGGGGCCTTCGGTGCCTGTGCATCCATCCACCTGATGGTAAACTGTGTTTGAAAGTCAGAGAAGGAGATGACTGGTTTAATTACCCGAGGTGGGAGAGGTGAGGTCAAAAAGAAACTGCCTTGTTATTTGAACCTGGGTTCTCCTTTGTCCTCTGAATGTGGCTGCAGCCTGAATCCGATCCCCGAATCAATGGTGTCTCCCCCTGGGCTTCACCTCAACATTCATCACTCAGCTACTCGCTTGATCAAGATCCGGGCCCTCAGTTCCAACCAGCAGGTCAGTGTCTCCAGGCAAAGCTGCTCCTGTCTGATCTATGGTCTGCCGTTTGTTTTCAGTCACAGACTGCTGTTCCCAGGCAGCAGAACCTGAGGGCATAAAGGAGTTTTCTATGTTGTTTGGCCTTAGATAAATACAGATGCATCTGAGCAATGCAAAAAGCAAACACACTAGAGTAATTATCTGAAATGCACATGGTTACAATCTATAGGAGTGGATTGAATTTTAGTAAAAGTAGAAAAATGTGTTCTTTTGGAGAGAGTCAATTTAAATTTTATTTGTCATAAGACTAAGTCACTTTTTAGTAATTTTGTTTTCTGTCTCAATAATTTCATACTTATTTATATTCAGAATATAGCACTAAAGACTCTTACACCACATATATTATTCATCTGTGAATTCTTTAGTCTGTTTGCTCCCCCATCACTGCAAGCGTTGCTTCTCCCCAGACCCACCCTGAGGCAGAGGCCCCTCTCAGCCTGTCACATACTCGGGAGTTACATATTCTTTCTGATAAACTTCAAGGTCAGAAATTCCACTGTGAAATTCCACCTATTTTAACCAACCTAATTTGTTTGTGACAGATTTTAAACATGTTAATCAGAATAACTACCAAAATATTTTTGCCATAATTTTTTTAATCAAGAAAATTGTTGGCTTTTTCTTTTAGCAAAACACACCCACATATGTATAAAAGCAAAAAGGTAACCTAAGATAACTTGACTTGCTGAGTCAACCCGTCTTTGCTGTAGGCTTCAAAGAGAAAGAACAAAGCCAAAATGAATTGGTAGAATATATTTCTCATGTGAAAAAAGTATTTCAAGTGTGAATTTGTAGATTTCTGATGAATAAATTGAAATGCTAGCACTTCGTGTCTGATTTTTCACTCGCACTTGCTCCCCTGCTATGCAGATCCATTCCTCTCAAATACCTGGCACATTTTAATGGTATAAAATTGATTGCCAACAAATGGATAGGGAGTATTTTTGTCTCTGCCCTTAATGTTGTCACTTTCTCTGGGAGATGTTTTACAATTGGCCTGTAATAGCCTGGAGTAGTTCTCCCCTCCTGGATGATGCTGGATGTTGGTTTCAGCACGTGTGTGGCTCTTTGTCCCCTTTACAGGGGCGGAGGACGTGTTGTCGCCACCTCACGAGACCAGCGCAGACCTCACTGAGGTCATGGAGCAGATCAACAGCACCTTCCCGTCTTGCTGTCGTGAGTATGAGCGATCACACGCCTAGTGCTCCACTTTCTTCTCCTTCCTCCTTTTCTTGCATGGTGCATCAGTCTTCTTGGGTAAGATAGCACAAACTTCTATTCAAAATAGGATTTGAAAGGAAATCTAACATTATACACGTTGACAAAGAAAAGGAAGCTTAGCTGAGATACCATCACTTCGCTGGGACACAGTGGCAGCGATCCGGCTTTGAGGCTTTCTGCTATGCCTTGTGAGCGATAAAGCGAAGGCAAATGAAGTAATACAGCTGTTTACAAAAAGAAATTATCCCCTTCAGTGCAAGCCACACAAGGAAAACGTCTCATCTCAAAGAAGAGCTTTTAGTGGCATGCCAAACAAGGCATGAAAAATAGCCTTTTCTAATGTAATTCCTCCTCTTTTCTTCAGACATTATTCTCTGATGTCATCAGAATCCAGTACAGAGGGGGATTATTTTCAGATTTCCCTTTTTTTCTTTACCCCCTAATGGTTTCTTTTCTCATGAAATAAAATGATCATTGTTGGAAAAGCCAAATGGTTTGAAGCATCACAGATTAGCTGTGAGTTTTCCATGTGAACTAACAATGGGTAGAAAATATCCACATATAAACAGTTGAAATCCAAGGGAGAAATTAGAAAATGATTCTTATGACTGATTTTTTTTCCAAGCATTTATTATGTAGGATCTTCCAGCCTTGTAATTTCAGTTGAGTTCTCATCTTAAATACTTGTGCTCTTTCAAGCAGACAGTCTACTTTTGTGTGCATACAGGTCAGTTAATGCTGTGGCGGAGCTCTGGTGGCCTCGGTTAAAGGGTTGCACTGCCAATCTTGAGGCAAACTGTTAAAATCCACCCTCTGTTCTGAGGGAGAAAGATGGATGAAGGCGTCTCCTCCAGCGGAATTTACAGCTTTTGAAAAGCCACTGGAGGGTCAGCTATGAGTGGGCTCCAACTCCATGGCCTATAACAGTAACTTAATACTACAATTATAGTTTAAATGTCTTAAAGAATATGGAGATAGTGTTGAAGAGATCAGAATATTAGACAATACAGATAGAGTTGTGCTGAGTAGTTCCTCTTGGTCAAAAAGAGAATATGAAGATATTTTTTTTTATAATTTTAGCTTACCATCTTCTCCAGTTGGTTTTAAATCCCAGTACCCTTCTATGAAAATGAGGGGCTTAGTTTATAAAATGAGTGTGTTAGTAAACGCTCCTCTAAAAGGATGAATTGTTTCAATTTAGTGCAGAATAGACGTGAGCCCCAACGTGAAGCTGGTGCCCAATACCTGTTCCTGAGCGGAATGAATGAACAACTACGCTTTCTAATTGAAAATTCATTTTTGAACCTTTCCCAGATAGAACTCAAGAAGCGTCTGTAGGATTCATGTGTTCTGCTTCTCTTCAGTTGTTCAGCTCACCAGTATTTGAATAAGTCCTTCCCATTCACAGAGCCTATCATCCTTGGAGGAGTTATCTGAGCAAATCGGATTGGCACTCTCCCAATGCCAAGCCAATCCCTTGAGCCCGAATAACTAATGAGAACTTTCAGATTGCTTGTCGCCAACATTCAGTGAATTTATCTGCATGCTCATCTTGACTTTTGATTTGTTGTGGATTAAAAATTAGCATGGCCACAAGCACATTGCTACTTTTGGCATTCTTGAAATTAAAGTGAAACCGTATTCATAATCCTAATTGCATGAATTGACTACGTAAATGTGATTTTTTTCCAGTGTCTCTGTATTGTTGCAAGTAACATTTTAGACTACTTCTATCTAAAATTCATTGAATTCATATCCCTTTTAGTCCTGGCTGCATCCCTGAGTTGTAGCCTCTTACAGTCATTTAAATTGGTTTTCAGAACAGAGAGTTAGTTGTGTCCATCTCTTTCTTGACAAAGAGTTAATGAAGGGAATTGAACTGTGCTCCTCTGAACCAATGTATCTGCTTTCATTCTCAGTAACAGCTGGAACTGTTTTTCCCCAGTGGAAAATATTTTGTCCAATTTTTTTTTTAGTGTATGCCATTCAAATGTATTGAATTCTAGAAATAACCCAGGTATTCTTTTCCTAATCTAGTTAATTCTGTTAGACTCACAGGCTTGTTTTCACTGTGAATTGCCTGTGTTTATTACATTTGAGTGACAGTTACTCAGCTCACAATTTCACATACAATTTTTTTTATTAAAAAAAATTGAAAGTCTACTGTAAAATGCAATCATTTCCTGATGTTTTTAAAAAATACACTTGCATGATTTGTGTTCTTTTTGGTCTTGTTTTAACATGGTTTATTCTGGGGAGTACTCGTCTTCTATTTGATGAAAAAGCTTTTAGGTTTTAAATATTGGTTTGTGACAGAAGAGATTAAACTTCCATCTAGGTTTTAACTATTTGTTACTGACAGTGGAAGCATAATTTTGTCTCTTAAGAAAAACTGTAAACTCATCGTCTAAAACCAAAATCTAAATCGTTATTGCCCAGGCAGTTCCAGCTCACAGGGACCCAATAAGACAGGGTAGAATTGTCCAGAGGTTTTCCCAGACTCTAAATGTGCCACATCCTTTTCTCTTCCAGTGCTTCTTAAACCCATGATATACTGAGTACTGATTAAACCAAGCTAGCTTGCACACTAGGTGTATCTCGCCTGTTTCATCAGTTCCCCCCCCCCCGTTCCCA